TTTGAGGTGAAAACAATGAGATGAGAGCGGTGAGCATGATCATAGACACTCTCAAGGGCACTGTAAGAGTTCTGATAAGGATGTAATAATCAGCCAATGTCCTCCGGTGAGATCCGTAAACATTCTCGAGGTGTGTCGGGGAATGGCCAAGAATAACGTCTGTGTCCAAGAGTCCAAGAGTCCTGATATGATGACACAAAGTTTATTCAGCTGGTTTCATTTGGTTATCAGTTGGAAATTCCTCAGGGAGGGGGTGGTGAGCGTCAGATCACATGTTCGCCAGGCGAATTCAGATAAGATGACCTTCAAGGCCAGCCAAGGGAGCCAAATTCAGATAAACACACAGTTTTTTTGGGGACAGGCAGAACTTAATGACATCTACCTTGAGTCTGTGTTGGTCCACTCAGTTCCGAAATATCCAAATTACATGGCCACACTGATGTGACGTGAATGAGTAAAATCCCCGAGATCTGATCCATTCTGCCCAAAGTATTTGAGTCTGGGTACTCGAGGCATGAACCAAGCCATCATAAAGGCAAGCAGCAAGATTGGGTCCAAATTTTCTGCCAACGACTTCCTTGATTGTTGATAAAACCAGCAACCAGACAAATCCAAAAAGCAGGAACCAGTTATCATAAATCCAATTAAATATTTGTCCTTAAAATCCACAAATGGCAGAAGAGATAGATACATCATCAAGTCTTCCAAGTCGATGAGATATCTAGCTGCATGCGCGCCAACAGGGCAAATCTGCGCGCCTAAAGCCTGTCTTCTCTTCGAAGAAATGTTATCAATTGTGTTGAGGGACCAACTGATCAAAACAAGTCCATAATTATGGTTCAGAAGATATGCAAGAGAGGCTCAGAAGCAGTTTCAAAGACAGACAGAACAGCAAAGCAAAGCGGAGAGGGAGGGGAGGGGAGAAGCGTCTGATCTCGGCAAGAGCGAGTGGTGAAGAGATACTGTGGTACTTCCATCACAGTCATAACTTGAAAAACAAACATGGCTACAGCTCAGTCATCGGTAGAGTTATTATTAAAGTAAAAATAGGATGTGGTGGTAGCTGAGAGTCATCCTCAGCCTTTACTATCTCATTGTCTAAAACTGTTGAACTCAACCCTGTTTGTCTGCTGGCAAAATATCTAATGAAACACTGGACTGTAGGGTTTGTGTTTCTTAGTGTCTGGCTCCATCTTGTGTTGTGGCTCTATCCTGCTCCCTTGTGTCTCACTGCCTCTATTCCCCACACCTGTGAAGCTCACAGGTTTTGTGTGTTAGATCTCGCTAATGTCTGTATGTGCTTGTCTTCCCTGTGTCCTGGCGTTGTTATCTGTCTACTGGCAATGACCTGTTCTGCTCCCTGTGTACCTCTTGATTATACATGTAAGTTTAGCTGCCCTGTCAGCCTTTTTGTTTTGTAAATAAATTATTTATTTAATTATTATTCCTGAGTCCTCAAGTGCCTGCCTGCACCACTGGGTTTACCAGCACCAGCCCCTTGTGACATGGACAAATTTTCATGAAACTTCCAGAAAGCAATTAATGGATGTACAACTACAATTAAGTAACTTTTGGAGTCAATCCAATTCAAGATGGCTGCAAAATCCAATTGACTGTATCAAACGTAACAATAGCTACAGGTCCTTCTCAAAAATTTAGCATATTGTGATAAAGGTCATTATTTTCCATAATGTAATGATAAAAATGAAACTTTTATATATTTCAGATTCATTGCACACCAACTGAAATATTTCAGGTCTTTAATTGTTTTAATACTGATGATTATGGCATACAGCTCATGAAAACCCAAAATGCCTGTCCCAAAAAATTAGCATATCATGAAAAGGTTCTCTAAACAAGCTATTAACCTAACCATCTGAATCAACGACGTAACTCTAAACACCTATAAAAGATTCCTGAGGCTTTTAAAAACTCCCAGCCTTGTTCATTACTCAAAACCGCTAAGACTGCCGACCTGACTGCTGTCCAGAAGGCCATCATTGACACCCTCAAAAAAGAGGGTAAGACACAGAAAGAAATTGCTGAACGAATAGGCTGTTCCCAGAGTGCTGTATCAAGGCACCTCAGTGGGAAGTCTGTGGGAAGGGAAAAGTGTGGCAGAAAACGCTGCACAATGAGAAGAGGTGACCGGACCCTGAGGAGGATTGTGGAGAAGGGCCGATTCCAGACCTTGGGGGACCTGCGGAAGCAGTGGACTGAGTCTGGAGTAGAAACATCCAGAGCTACCGTGCACAGGCGTGTGCAGGAAATGGGCTACAGGTGCCGCATTCCCCAGGTCAAGCCACTTTTGAACCAGAAACAGCGGCAGAAGCGCCTGACCTGGGCTGCAGAGAAGCAGCACTGGACTGTTGCTCAGTGGTCCAAAGTACTTTTTTCGGATGAAAGCAAATTTTGCTTGTCATTCGGAAATCAAGGTGCCAGAGTCTGGAGGAAGACTGGGGAGAAGGAAATGCCAAAATGCCAGAAGTCCAGTGTGAAGCACCCACAATCAGTGATGGTCTGGAGTGTCATGTCAGCTGCTGGTGTTGGTCCACTGTGTTTTATCAAGCGCAGGGTCACTGCAGCTAGCTATCAGGAGATTTTGGAGCACTTCATGCTTCCATCTGCTGAAAACTTTATGGAGATGAAGATTTAATTTTTCAGCACGACCTGGCACCTGCTCACAGTGCCAAAACCACTGGTAAATGGTTTACTGACCATGGTATTACTGTGCTCAATTGGCCTGCCAACTCTCCTGACCTGAACCCCATAGAGAACCTGTGGGATATTGTGAAGAGAAAGTTGAGAGACGCAAGACCCAACACTCTGGATGAGCTTAAGGCCGCTATCAAAGCATCCTGGGCCTCCATAACACCTCAGCAGTGCCACAGGCTGATTGCCTCCATGCCACGCCACATTGAAGCAGTCATTCATGCAAAAGGATTCCCAACCAAGTATTGAGTGCATAACTGAACATGATTATTTGAAGGTTGGCGTTTTTTGTATTAAAAACACTTGTCTTTCATTGGTGGGATGAAATATGCTAATTTTTTTTGAGACAGGCATTTTGGGTTTTCATGAGCTGTATGCCATAATCATCAGTATTAAAACAATTAAAGACCTGTGCAATGAATCTGAAATATATGAAAGTTTCATTTTTATCATTACATTATGGAAAATAATGACCTTTATCACAATATGCTAATTTTTTGAGAAGGACCTGTATATCTTAGTTGATTTTATAGATACAGAGATCTAATTTGATGTGGTGGTAGCTCAGAGTCATTCACAACATATATTTTGACCACCAACAGATTGCATGAGATACGGCAGTGATCAAAACAGCTGTCCTCTGCAATACCTAAGATAAGATGATTTTAAATCTATCAAACAATAGGGACAACATGATTCCTTCAAGGAATCAGCCTCTGCTTTGTTTTCTTTTAAATCACAGATGTAAAATCAAATGAAGAAATGCATGCTGATGGTAGATTGTACACTAATCTTAAGAGCAGCACAGTGGAGCAGTTGGTAGAGCTGCTGCCTCTCACTGAGAAGGGTTTCAGGATTGAATCCTAGTCTGGGGCCTATCTGGGTGGAGTTTGCATGTTCTCTCTGTGCATGTGTGGGTTTTCTCCGGGTACTATGGCTTCCTCCCACAGACCAAAAACATTTATGTTAGGCTGATTGGTAACTCTAAATCAGTGCTTCTCAATTATTTTCTGCTATGCCCCCCCAAGAAAGAAGTAAACATTTCACGCACTCCCCCCCCCCCATCTCTCCGTCACGACTGAAATAGTATGTCTATAAAATTGTTATAAGTACACCTCTACCTAACACTGAGTCCTTATTACCATTAAAGAAAAATAATAATAATATAGATCAACTTACAACGAAGAATAACTTTATTAACATTGTTTTTTTTTTTTGTCTGTAACATAAACAACTTAAAGTGCATCAATTAGCCTGAAAAAAACATTTTTTTTTAAACTGTAAACATTTTTGGACCATTTGATACTGAAAAATAAAGTTGAATATAATCAATAAATAATAATAAATTCAAATTGATCAGCAACATTTTAGCTCAGGAGTGTTATATAAAACACTTTGACCTACAAAACAAAAATGAATAAAAGAATTTATGCAGATTTTTATTTATTTATCAAAATGAGGAAGTCAGGATCAGTGAGCACACTCATTGATAAAACAAATCCAAAAAATTGCCAAAACGAAAGAGGAAAGAGGAGCAGGTAACCCTCTCGCTTTGAGTTTACTCTTTGTCACCTGCATGCTGTGGGTGACAAGCATCGAGAGCATAAAAAACAGCAGCTAACTGAGGAGGTGAATTTATTTTGTTAGCAAATAATAGAGTCCTTACATTTATTAAACATTACTTCTATAAATTGTGCTTTGACAAACTTATCAATTAAACTAAAACATTTGCCAACGCAAAAGAGGAAAGACGGGGCAGGTGTCGCTCTCGCTTGAGTTTACTCTTTGTTGCACGTGAGCTGTGAGTGACGTCCAGAGCGAGTGGACATGAAAACAGCAGCAGACGGAGGAGGTGACGGTCGGAGTTTATTTAGCATGTTAGCAGCAGAGGGGAGAGACACGGTTCATGCATGGCTCCCAAAACACCAAGGCAGCCATATTTGTTCATAACTTTATTATTAAGAATGCACGCGACAAAATGAGAATGGTGAAAAAAAAAACCTACTCTGGCAAAAAAGCATGTTTTCTAGGTTCACATCCGCCCCCCCCCTAGCATTGCCCCGGGCCCCCCCAGGGGGGCGCGCCCCACTATTTGAGAAGGACTGCTCTAAATTGTCCCTAGGTTTGAGTGAGAGAGTGAATGGTTGTTTGTCTCGTTTGTCTCTATGTGTCTCTGTGACGGACTGGAGACCTGTCCAGGTGTCCTTGTGATGGACTGGAGACCTGTCCAGGTGTCCCTGTGATGAACTGGAAACCTGTCCAGGCGTCCTTATGATGGACTGGAGACCTGTTCAGGTGTCCCTGTGATGGACTGGAGACCTGTCCAGGTGTCCCTGTGATGGACTGGAGACCTGTTCAGGTGTCCCCTGCCTCTAACAAAGTGACTGTTGCAGATCAGCACCAGTAACTCGTGACCCAGAGATAAACAAGTGTGTAATAAATAATGAATGGACGCATGTTCCCTGTTTAGTCTCTTATTTTCTTATTGTAAAGTCATTTTTAACTTTAATTTAGCTTTTAAGGCACACTTATCACACCATACACACAAGTAAGCTGAAATTATATAGAATCTTCTTACAATTTTTATTTTTCCACAGAGGAAGTTTTGGGTTTAAATTAAAAAATACACCCCGAAAAATAAAAAATACAAAAACACCCATGTTAACAAAACGTTCTAAAATAAGATTGGACATTTAAATTCATTCATGTTCTGTTTGAACTCTGATGAAATGATGGCAGATAACTAATTAGGACAAACCTTAGAGAAAGTAAAACACAAACATGCAGTCTGACAGCTTATCTTATTTTGAAAAGTTTCCTTCTTTGAGAAACTCCCAGCTGTGTTCAGCAGGACATTTCTCCTGTTTGTGCTCATAAGATAAAGAAAGTCCAACAGTCACTCTATAAGTTAGTTTCCTGTAAAGGGAAATAAAATGTCTCACTTTTTAACCGCACAACCATGTTCACAAGCTGCATGCTAACATGGACATTATTCCACAGAACATTACAGGTGATGAAGCTGGAAGTGGTTTATTTTAGGAGTCTGTTGAACATTTTTCAGACAGAAGGAATCAGGAGACTCTGGCTCTGGGAGCTCTGATCAATCATTACAGATACAACATTGACCTGAGAATGGAAAACAGCTGCGTGTGGAGAAATCTTCAAAGAGCACCAGATAAGGACAAAACATCACAGGGCATAAAATATGTATTAATCAATGTTTGTTCAACACAAAACCTGAACCAAACATTAGAAATAATGAAAAACTAAGTTCAGCCCATGATCCAGCAGCTTTTCAATGCACCTTGAGCAGCAGTAACGCTCAGTAGTGGTTAATAGCACACTCTTCTGCAATGGTTCCCAACCATGGTCCTTGGGGAACACCATCCTGCATATTTTAGGTGTTTCCCTGCTTTGACACATCTCATTTAAATGAAGTGGTGATTAACAGGCTTCTGCAGAACATGAAGCAGGGCTGAATTTGGGCTGGATCCTGCCAGAACAGAATCTGGGAACTCTCTTATTTTGACAGGGTGCGTTCTGGTAACTGTTTGCTTGGCTCCGGTAATTCTCAGGCTCACTAATAATAAAGTTATGAACAAATATGACTGCCGTGAACAAATAAAACTTATATTGGATATATAAACTGAAAATAATTACATAAACACTAATTTTAAACACAACAGCCACTTACGAGCATATGAGCTGCCCTTCAAGTAGCATTTCTACGTCTACCCTTAAAAATTAAACGCTCCAGCAGCAGCATTTCTTCTTGAGAAAAGACCTGCAGTTTAGTCATGCATGCAAACTGCACAAGTCTGTTTAGATATGTGCATGTATGACAATGCTCAGAACACATTAGTATTGAATACAGTGTTAGCACGCATTCATAGTCACAAGCTCTAGCAGCACAAAGCAATCCTATGGGATCTGGGGGCACGCTTGTCTGGAAAATCTACTCAAAACAATGCATTGTTCCATATATTTGAAGTGCATTTTACTAAATTCCTAGAATAAAGCACTTTAAATCATTATAATATATATTTATTGAAATGTGTAACACTGACTTACAGCTAGCTTTACCCTTTTTTCTTATTTATTTTTACATGCCGAGTACCTTGAGTTTGTTTTCACTGCACCATACTTTACTTTTATCATAGAATATTCTTTGCCCCATAGTAACAAAGCCGGTTAACCTGAGAAATCTTCTAGGTAGGTAACAGAACTTGTGTATATTCAAATAGAAGAGACAAGTTGCCCTGCAGACCCCGGGTGGCTGTGGATGAGTGGTTAGAGCAGTCGTCCTCCAATGCAAGAGTTGGGGGTTCGATTCTACCAGCAGTCACATGCCGAAGTGTTCCTGGGCAAGACACTGAACCCCTCATTGCCTCTGATGTGTGTCCCATCTGTGTTTGAATGTGGTAAAGCTCTGATTATTCTTTGTATAGTAGAGTGTTGTATGAAAGGGTAAATGAGGCACAGATTGTGTTGTAAAGAGCTTTGAGTGTCTTGATGAGATATAAAAGCACTATATAAGTATTTACAGTCCATTACCCCATTTCTGTGTCTAAAAACCACAAGTTCAGCAGTGAAGCAACTCAAGATTAGATTACTAACTTAAAAAAAGAGAAATGTTTATCCTTTCAGTCTGAGCGTATTTCCGACGACACATTTTTTACAAGCTCACTTTGCATTACAGTAACTGTGCGATTGTGCGATCAGAAAAATTGCAATAGTTTCTGAAAGCTGAGAAATTGTGCTTTACAGCCAGTATAGGCTTACTACAGAAACCTCACTCTGGCTATTGCAGAAAGTCTGGGGGTTTCCAATGGGGTAGCAGAGTGTACTCCTTGGATAATTGGAGGGGGAAGCACTGATTTCCATCCCACTCTGTCCACCAGGGCGGTGTTAGTGGTTTTTAGTTAGTTTGAAATGTCTCTCTACTCTGAAGGAAGCAGGGATCTCTGTGAGCCTGACCCTCTGTGAGGGCTTTGGGACAGGGAACTGTAGAATAATTGGTGCTTTCACCTGTAGTCTCTCTCTAAGGGACACTGCTCACACCTGTGCACACTGTACACCAATAATTCTCAGTCAGGTGACCTGACTGAGAATTATTGGATTTGATACCTGGATGACTAAGCATGAGCTTTGTTGTACAGCAGAAAGCATGATCCACACTGCTCTGATTTGATTTGGCAAAACTACGGTTCTGCTTCATTTTATTTGTTGAAAGCAGCATCAGTTTAATCCTTGTCTCATAATTAGATTGGATTGGACCACAACAAAAAACACTTTTTTTAAAACATATTTTTACAGAGGATATAAATCCGACCTGATCACATTCAAAATAATGAAAATCATTTGTGGCAACAAATTATTTAAATCCCTGTTACAGAAGGCTGAATGCTGACCGAGGAGTCGTTTATTGATTCACTGATCCTGACAGATCAAACTAAAACACATTAGCTTGTTTGCTACAGAGGATGATGATGAAGGTGGTGGTTTAAGGTTCTCAGCTGTAATCAGTCAGTGGTGTCAACATCCGACATTATGGGATTACAAGATCTACAGAAACATGATCTTTCTTCCTGGATAAAATGAAAATCTGTGCAACATATAAACACAGAACAACTTTAGTTTTGAACATTGAGGTTTGGTCATTATTCATTAATATATTCCGATCAAAGTTCAACAGAATGTACTTCGTAGAAGAAGAAACAAGAACTGACCTATGCAGGGTGTGTCGCCCACCCGGCCCTCCATCTTGTTAAGCATTCCTCCGGTGGAGGTTGCACACGCTACGTTACCCTCAATGTCGACTGCAACCGCTCCAACGGTACCCATCTTACCCCTACAGAAGAAACCAGCTGCATCATATGATACAATACAACTTTAATGATAAAGCACTTAAAAAACAACCCCGGTGACTCAAGTGCTGTACACTGATAACACATAAAAGCAACCATAAAACTATAAAAACAACTTAAACATTAAAAACACTGAACTGTTAAAATTATAAAGACAACTAACAATAGTAGAACAACAAAACCAATAAAAAAAAACATACATTGCCTGGCACCCCCAAAAAAAGTTGCCACCAAAAAAAAAAAGTCACACTAATATTTTGTTGGACCACCTTTAGCTTTGATTACGGCATGGATTCACTGTGTCATTGTTTCAATAAACTTCTACAATGTCACAAGATCTATTTACATCCAGTGTTGCGTTAATTTTTCACCAAGATCTTGCATTGATGACTAGACATGATAGGTGAATCACTTCACCTGCCTCTCTTCTTACCCTGATGCACCCATCACTCTGGAACAGGGTCAATCTGGACTCATCAGACCACATGACCTTCTTCCATTGCTCCAGAGTCCAATCTTTGTGCTCCCTAGCAAACTGAAGCCTTTTTTCCAGTTAGCCTCACTGATTAGTGGTTTTCTTAAGGCTACACAGCTGTTCAGTCATAATCCCTTGAGTTCCCTTCACATTGTGCATGTGGAAATGCTCTTATTTTCACTATTAAACACAGCCCCGAGTGCTACTGTTGTTTTTCTTCAATTTGATTTCATCAAACATTTAAGTGATCGCCGATCACGATCATTCAGGATTTTTTTCCGGCCACATTTCTTCCTTGAAGACGATGGGTCTCCACTATCCTTCCAGTTTTTAATAATGTGTTGGACAGTTCTTAACCCAGTTTTAGTAGTTTCTTCAATCTCCTTAGATGTTTTCTCTGATTGATGCCAATGATTTGACCCTTCTCAAAGAGACTGACATCTTTCCCACGACCACGTGATGTGTCTTTCAACATGGTTGTTTAAGAAATGAGAAGCAACTCATTGCACCAGTTGGGGTTAAATAACTTGTTGCAGCTGAAAGATAATCACCCATGCAGTAATTATCCAATAGGAGGCTCGTACCTATTTGCTTAGTTAAATCCAGGTGGCGACTGCTTTTTTTTTTTGGCCAGGCAGTGTAAAAGGCAACATCTCAAACTGAGTGAAAGGCCAAGGAGAAAAATGTGTTTTCAGAGAAGATTTAAAAACAGGAAGTGAGTCGGCCTTCATTTCACAGTTTAGGGGCAGAGACTGAAAACGCTCGGTCAGCTCTCAGCCTGGTCTTTGATTTTGGAACGACCAACAGGAACTGATCTACTGGCATGAGAGAGCGTGGGGGAATGAAGCAATTCAGACATACTGTGGGCGACACCATGAAGACATTTAAAAACAAATAAAAGTACCTTCAAATTAATCTGGTAGGAGCCAATGTAGTGATTCTAAAACAGGAGTGATGTGCTCTCGTTTTCTGGTTCCAGTTAAAAGGCGAGCAGCAGCATTCGGAACCAGCTGAAGTCGAGTCAGTAATGACTGGCTCAGATCGACACAGAGTTAATTAAAGTAGTCTAAACGAGTTATAATAAAAGCATGGATTAAAATCTAAAAATGATGTCCAATCTTGACTGGCCAAGGTCAAGGAAGCCAAGTAAGGATCTTGGCTGGACTTGATCATAGGTTTAATCTGTGCATCAAGTTTAAACTCATTGCCCAGCCTCACATCTGGGTTAGTTGCTGTCTGAGTCAGATGACCCAGATCAGCATGGACTTTGGAACTGTCACTTAAACAACAAGCCCTCAGTCTTTTGTTCAGTAAAATGACTTCTGCAATATCCTGATGCATGCTCAATAATCCAGGTAGAAAAATCTAAAAAAGTTAAATCTGGTCCTCTGGACATTCAAAAAAAACCCAAAAAAACAAAGCAAATCAACAAAAAAATGTAGAAACGTTTCGTCTCTCATCCGAGAGACTTCCTCAGTCTGAGGTGCTGTATTCAGCTCAGTCTCTTAAATAGCACCTTCTCCGAGTGGATCAACCAGTTTTGCTGCTGACAACCAAAACCAGCTGATCACATGCTCAAGAAGGACCATCAGCCTAACAATGGATC